CACACACACACACACGCGCGCGCACACACAACCAGTGTCACTTGTCACTTGGTTGCAGTTCAGCGCAGCAAAGCTTCCACAGAGAGCACGAGCTGAATGACATGACAACAGCTGCTCTGCGACGGAATGTGATGCTTCAGCTTCCATCCATTGTCGTTGCAGACGTGGCAGGCCCGGTACGCTTCCAACACGGCCCTCTCAGCCTCGATGCTTCTGGAATATTTGCTTCTCCACCTGGGGGACCCTAGGCCGCTAACTTTTCACCTGGGGATGGCCTGGGCTGGAACCAACGACGGCCCACACCTGAACACAACACTCGAATATGTCGCATTCAACTCACCCTACAGAAGTCTGATTTCTTTCGTAGACGCTTTCTTTTTTTCCAAATATAACACCAGGGGTTTGAATTTGAACAGAACACCAGGACCGGGCTGGACGTCGTCTTTTAATAAGGCTTTGGTAGAACACTTTGTAGACTACAGTTTTGATTGTCACGTGTTTTCTGTACTCAGCACCCACCCACCTCCCTCCCCCTGCCCTGGATCAATCTCATCTACTACCCTCACCATCTGGAGACCGTAGGTCCGATAGAAGTTTCAAGCATCCATTTGCAACTTTCTTCTTCTACGGAGCGCGGAAAAAAGAAGTGTCCACTATCCAGAAATACCACAGGAAAGTTTGTTCGAATATTTGCTCTACAGTAATGGCAGAGACAGAGTCGCGGCCTCTTCGTGATTTTTTTTTTTTTTTTTTTGGCCTGGACTGTGTTGATCTTGAGGGAATTCTTTTTTTTTTTTTCCTTCCGTTCTCCTTTTTTTTTTTTTTTTTTTTTTTTTTTTTTTTTTTTTTTTGTGTCCAACTTGTGCAGAGGCCATGCTCATCTTCTCTTCTTTTTCTCCAATGTAGCGATGTTGCAATTTTAACGGATGGGCCCATAGGACGACGCATATATATTCTTAATGGATGTGCCCATAGGAAGTACTGGTGGTTGAAAAAAAAAAAAAAAAAAAAACACAAATTTGATTTTTTAAAAATTGAAAAAGTTCTTGGAATATCGGGTGTGGTAATTTTGTTGAGGTGACTAAGCCAGTCTTTCGCTTGACATGGAGGGGGTGTCGTTTTTTTTGGTGAGGTTTATATTCCTTCACATAATATATATATTGTGGGCCTCCTTTTAGCTGACGCCAGCAGCTATTTCCCAGCCTTTTGGAAAAAAGGCCGGGAACGTACCGGTGGTTTAATTCTTTGAGCAGTGACTGGTTTTTGCCATTTTTGGAGTGAAAATTTTCGGTTACTTGTGGTTTACTCCTCTGAGCAGTGACTGTTTTAGGAGTGGAAAATTTTAATTAACGGTGGNGCAGTGACTGTTTTAGGAGTGGAAAATTTTAATTAACGGTGGGTTTAATCCTTTGAGCAGTGACTGTTTTAAATGTGCAATAGGAGTAAAAAAAAATTGTCACCGGTGGCTTAATCCTTTGTGCAGTGACCATTTTCGGAGTGAAAAAAATTAATTGCCGATGGTTTAATCCTTTGAGCAGGGACTGTTTTCGGAGTTGAAAATTTTTATTTAGTAGTCACGGTCAACGTGGCATTATTATTATCGATAGGCTGCTGGTGAGATGGTGTGACTGCTTTCTATAGGCCGCTGGAGAGATACATCTTCGAAGATTCTTCAGCAGGAAATTCTATTTGCAAATTTGGAGGATGTACCCTTGTTAGGAATTTCATTGGCTTGAAAAACAAAAGTAATAAATTCGTCGGGAATTTTACATATTTTGCCAATGTTTGGGTTGTTTCTTGCCTTTAGACTTGGACTTGGTTCTGAAACCGCCAGTACCTACCGCATTCTTAGGCGCCCTCCCACTAGAATGAACGTACCCCTGCTTGGCGGGCCAATTCAGCCACTGCGTTAATGGCCTAAGAAAGTGGAGATGCGGGTGGTTCAAGGAACATGTATGGTTTTTGAAGAGAAGAGTGCGGCCTGGGGGCGACCCCTCTCAATAAAAGCCATAGTGGGTTCTTCGCCCCCTCTCAATAAAAGCCAAAGCCCACTACCATCTTCAAGCAACATGTATGATTTTTGAAGCGAAGAGTGCGGGCTGGGGGCGAATGCGTGCAGCTCTTCGCCCCCTCTCAATAAAAGCCAAAGCCGACTACCATCTTTAACCGAATAGAACGCCAGGGTCATTGTCGCCGTACTTGGGGCAACTTTCTGTCCAGATGCCGCCATAATGACGGGTGTTCTATTCGGGTGACGGCGGTAAAAACCCCGTTGCGATGCAGTGTACTGTCGTTTATTCTGCCTTGGGTACTGGGCCCATAAGAAAGTAAAATAGCTGATTTTGCCAACTAGCCACACCATTCCGATACTGTGTTTTGTCGCTTAATGTACCTTCGGTACTGGGCCCATTCGAAAGTAAAAAAAAAAGGCGCTTTACGCAAAAGTGGTTTGCATTGCACGTCATCACGACCTTCTTTTCTTCGTTATGGAGCCCTCACCAAATGTACCGAATACGT